ATCGGTACTTTTTCCGGTTTTGATTTGTATCGGGCAGTTAGTGAAAATCGAAAAAGTCATAAAGCTTACCTCAAGAGCCTGATGTCGCTTTTGACGAATTCCAGTTCAGAATGCACAGTTTCGATTTTGAGTCGTGGCAAACATTTCAACATTGGCGCTCGGTTGCAAGTCTTGAAAGCAAAATGTGATGTATAGCTCAATGTCAGATTCACTAGGAATAGGTTCGCCAACTTTAAGATGAATACATTAGTTTGGAGTGTGAGGAAGGTAGAGAGTGAGAGAAAGAGCAATTGAGCAAGAGCGGGAGAGCAAGCGAGACAGCGAGAGTGGACGAGAGATTGAGAGTGAGCCAGAGCGACGTGATTGCAAAGATCAGGAAAAAAATTCAAATTGAACCCTGATCGCCTTTTTTAGAAGCTTTAGCTTACCTTTTTTTATTTAATAGCAGCTTCACTTGCGATGTAGAGCCATAAAGCAGCGCTCCTTGGATTTTGTTCATCGATCGTCGGAACTACCTACAATTTTGATATATCAACATCCATAAAACCTACACCGAATTATTTTTTGAAGATCAGGAGGTTAGCCTGATGCTGAAATAGCGCCATTCTATGCTGGCGCCATTTTCTCGGAGGAATTATCCAAGAGGAGGGCAAGTGGCCTGAAAATAAGTATCATTTTGTCATAAAATGAAGCGAAAGCATAACTATTGCGAGGGAGAGCAGAGAAAACAGTACGACATAAACTTGACAGAGAAACGAAAAATGAAGCATTTTCCTTTTGCGGGGGCCAGGGCGGCCCGTGGGCGCCTAATTAGCTTGCGAATTAATTTGGTATGCATCCATTGCCAGCCATTGCCGATGGCAGCGCGGCAGGTGGTCAGCGCCCGGATGTTGCCATGTATGACGAACACAAAGAGCAACGGGGTAAACCCAATACTCGACATCATCAAGCATGCAAAAGGGGGGGGGGCGACCCTGGAGGGCCCTAGCGCTGAATACCTAAAAAGGCCCGGGCATCCCGTTGCCCGCAACCTCCCTACCGCAACATTGGACGCAAAAACCAGCCAACAATTCAGGAGCCATGATACTTGCAAAATCTAACCCAGCAGGGATCTAAGGCTTAAAATCAGAACAATCGCCATATTTCCTACATTTTTCAAAAAATACCACAGCAATGGAGAGTGATAGAGAACTAGACCCTCGAAACATCTATGCAACGTTCATAGATTCGGTGTTTGGACAGGGATGGACCGTAACGGTTGCAAGCAACGGTCAGACACGAGTCGAAATGTAAGTTTTTTTCTGAAAGACTGAAAGGCCCCAATATGGTTTGGCACAGGCTTTTCGGTCCTGTTTTGGGCCGCCATCGGATAGAGCAGTTTTTAGGGCTGCGTAGTGTTGAAAGTTTAGAAAGTTGATTTTCATAGTTTAAATTGGTGTAAAATTTGCCGACCCTCAAAAATTATCTCGAAAGTTACTGCACCAAATCGGCTAAAAATTTGTGACAAGGCTAATTTTACGATGCTGATCATTTTTCTAATACATCGGAAAGCACGAAAATGAGCGGAACATGGCCAAATCGCGCTACCCAAACAATTTTTCAGGGATTTGTAATTTATGGGTTTTTGGCGGTCCGTTGCAAATAAACTTAAAAGATGCGCGAAAAAATTCTGCGCCGAATATCGTATTTTATACAGGGCGGATAGAGGCCCTACTCTTGCTATAAAGCATTTACTGCGCGCAAAAAGCCCCCAAACTGGCTCAAAAACCCCAAAAATGACATATTTTAAAAAAACCCACAATATTTTTGTTATTTTCGTGAAACTTTTCGCGCAGTAAGCCTTGAATGTAAAAAAGACCCAAAACATAAGCAACCCCCTAAATACAAAAAACGGCTGTTTTCGGGAAAATGAACATAATTGAAGTGTGAATCTCAAGTGTGTACCGCCTATTAAGCGTCCATATTTTTATTCAATTGGTCGAAATTACGTTTTTGGCATGCGAGTTGTATAAAGTTAATCCAGTTTGGGGGTAGACGTGTTGTGAAAATCATCAGACGGCTGACTTTTGGGCCCACATCCGGACGTAAACCCTGAAAAATCATATAAATTTAGCATATAGCATTTGTCCATTTTTTATATAAATAGCGGAAGTGTTCCTAAACCCTTCTTTATTATTCTTAAACATAAAAACTTTACAAATTTTCATTAAAAAGTGCAAAAACATCGCTTTTGCCACCAAAAATGACCGCCTTTACCAAGATTTCGACGCTTTGATAATTATTTCAAAGTCTCGATAGCTTTATTTTACTAAAATCATTCCTAAAACTTACTTTAAAATTACTTGGAATTGATTGATTTATTTAAAAATATTGGTCCCCGGATAATGCGTAAGAAGCACTATTAAAAAGTTATACCAAAAAAATGCCAAAAATGTCAGCTAATCACAAAAATATTAGGTTCGATCAAACCTGCTAATGCAGCGTTAAATACTGTTTAGATCGCTTGAAATTTACGACTTACCGGAAGAATATAAGATAAAATCTTCTTTCGCAGAACATCAAATTTTTTGGGTATCTCTTTTACCATGGCTATGTGCTAGGTGTCCAAGTATCTGATCGTAATCCTGTGCATCGACTCGAGCGTTTCGAGTACATGCTAAAAATGAAACATTAATTAATGAGCTTTTGCCACGCAACCAACCGTTTCAGATCCTGATGGTGTAAAACGATGCGAGGTGATGAACGAAGGTTGAACATTTCATTGTACCTAAAGAAGTAGTATTTAGCCAAAATTAATTTTTTTTTTTAGATATAACACAATAGTTTCGCTCATAGCTTTTAGGCGCTTTTGGATTTTTTCCGCGGCGATGAAGTAACGCATTCGATAGAGCTTGAAATTACCAACATTTTGCGTTGTTAAAACTTATTGAAAAAACCGGTTCTCGCTAAACAAGGTGCTAAAGGTTCAAAATTTGGCCAAGCGCTGCTAAAAAGGAACAAGATCGTCCATTTTCGAGCATTTTTCAAGAAATTTTACAGGTGGTCTTATTCAGATTTTTTAGCTTTATCGAGTTAGATATAGAATGTTCAGAATTATCATCAAATCAATTGAATATTATTAGTCAATCTCAACGTCTATTTCACATAGCAAAATTCTAAAATCAGCTAAATAAACGATGACAACCAAATATCAAAACAACCGTAGTTTTCACGCTTTCAAAATTCACAGCTTTTTGAAAAAAACCATTTGAAAAGACAAATGTCCATGAAATTTAACTTTAAACTGAAACCATTTTGAATTTCACTTACTGTTGCGTGAAGCGGAATTCTTCTGTGGGCGTCTCCTTGACCATCGCAATGCCCTGAGCGTTGTAATATGTGATGAGGAATAGCAGCATACATGTCGAGGCCAGAGTTTTATATAATTTCATCATCAACTTCTTCTTGTATTTCCCTTTTGTATGGCTGAGTACATGCTAAAAACAAAGCTATTCGATGGGTATTTTTAACGCAACCAACCTGTTTACGTCTTGGTAGTATACCGGTTTATCTTCTTTTATAGCCACGTTTACCCTTCTCGAGACGAACTAAAAATGTATGTTTAGCTGAAACGTGCTGAATTGCAAACATGGAATTTTACGATCCAAGGTTCAAGGTTTAGGGTTACGATACCAGCAACTTACATACTCCTAAGGCCTGTCCAGTAGTCTAAAATCTCATCCATTCCTTTTCCATTCCATTTCCTGACTGGGATGTAACGATACGTGTCGATGAATCGCAGCTGAAAATGGAAATGTGGATTGGTCAACCAACAGCGAGAAATTATAGTTTTTCAACCGGTTTCAGGGGTTGATCGACATCACCCCGAAAAGACACCATCCAGAAAAATTTGCATGCGAAAAGTCAGGTCCACTATGGAAAAAGATCATATTCCAATGAAGTTTTCGCATGTAAATTTTTCGGGAAGGTGTCTTACGGGACGGTGTCCATGATTCGTATCAAGTCAGTGACGGCTATCCATAAATTTTTCTGAAAGTTCGATAAAAAATCGTATTTCGAATGTGTTGGATTGTTATGGATTGATCACGAGCTCTTGCTCACAAGGAAGCCTTTTTGAAATACCACTTTCATTTTCGTTTTGAAGGAGCAAAGCTCGTCAAAGTTTAAAAAGGTCAGAATTGGCTTTTCGGCTACCAATCAGTGACAATACAGGCTTCGTATTTGTCGGGGCCATTTTCACGAAATTAGCAACAGTCAGCGAACAGTTCAGTAATGCTAAAAAATAGCCATTCGGCGTAGTAACATCATTATTTTAGTTTATAAATGCTTTTATATAAATAATTTAATATGAGCCATATTAAAAAATATATACCTTATTTCGCTTGCGTCAACATGGTTTTCGATCTAAACTCCTCTTGCGCCCTTGGGCGACTAATACTACGTCGGCCACTTCTTGTGTCGCAAGTTTTGAGCAACTTCTACCCTCCATTTGCAGTCATATCTACCTGCAAAGAAAAATAGAGATTACCACAAATAAATTACCTCCGTTGTGGGTCGTTACAATTTAATTCTTTTTTAACAGTTCTCGAAGCGAAGGACGTCTTCCGATAATAACGTTTTTTGTTTCCACGTGGCAGTTGATGCCTTATATTCTGAGCCTTATACTTCTTACTTGAATTGAGAAGGACGTAAATCGGATAATTTAAACTCACTTGTTAAATTTAAAAAACAACAGGAAAATCCTTGATGTTGAAAAGACGTCACATTATGTAGACGCCGTGGTTTGGAATAATCCTCCAAGGTGAGGATTTTGGATCCTGAAAATTGTTAGAGTTTCTATTTCTAAATCCACTGATCAAGAGCGAGAGAGAGAGGGAGAGAGAGAGAGCGAGAGAGAGAGAGAGAGAGACAGAGAGGGAGAGAGAGCCAGAGAGTGAGAGAGAGTGAGATTGGACAAACAAATAATCGGCGTATTAATTTACGCCAATTTTAAGAGCTGTACCTCTTAAAATTTACCGCATGTTTATTTTGGTAGTAAAATAAGCATGCATTAAACCATCTCGACAAAACTCACGCAAGAAACCAGGCAAAATGAAAGGCCGTGGAAAGCAAGGAGAAATTCCAAGGAGAGGTGAAATACGTGAACAAGAGGATTTAAAGAGAATATCCCAAGAAAAAAACGGGGGTCTAAATGAATGTATGGGACGGAAAACGTGACAGCAAAAGTGATCGCTTGATACAAAAAGTAGGTCAGGGGCCGCGCATTAATATATTGGCGCCAAATCCGACTCGGTGTGGCTCACCAAAAACGCGCCCTCGCCCCGCAACTGACTAGCGGCCGCAGAAAAAAGGTTACGCCAGGTTTTGAGCAAGATGTAAACTAAAAAGTGAGCGGAGACTTTACATGGCGCTGATGAATTTATCCCTTACTACCTAAAAATGGCGCAGTACTTGGAAAGTAACATGGTAAAATACGAATTAGGCGGAGCTGCACCCATTCAGGGGTGATTATTTGCATCCGCATTATTCAATATCGATCAGAGGGATGCAGAGAAAGGATTTCCCTTTCTCGTTCTCTCTCTCTCCCTCTCTCCCTCTCTCCCTCTCTCCCTCTATCCCTCTCTCCCTCTCTCTCTCCCTCTCTCCCTCTCCTCTCTCCCTCTCTCCCTCTCTCCCTCTCTCCCTCTCTCCCTCTCTTCCTCTCTCCCTCTCTCCCTCTCTCTCACTCTCCCTCTCTCTCTCACTCACTCACTCACTCTCTCTCCCTCTCTCTCTCTCTCTCTCTCTCTCTCTCTCTCTCGTTATCTATGGCTACCGTATCTCCTCCCGGGCAGACGGGTGAATGATCAGCCATTCGACACAATGGAAAGCTTTAAGATCACCCCTGCGTACGCCCGTCTGCCGCCTCCGAAGCTCGTCTGGAGCGACGACGATAGCGATGAAGACGAGGAGAACAAGGCCCCTGCTACGGCCCCAGGGGTCCCGCGTCGCCCTTCAAGATCGCCCGCTACACCGTCCCATGAAGGCGGCTCAACAGCCAAAAGGAGGCTGCTAACGTAAGTCTATTTTTCTCTTGTATTTTAAAACATATTTAAAACATTGTTAAACTTGAAATTTAGTGACATCACCAACAAGTCCTCCGCTGCCATCTAATTCCACGCAACGTCTAGCGAGTAAGCCTGATCTAAGCAAACAAACCTATTTTTTTTCAATTTCTGTAATAAAAGCTTTTTAATATCTGAGGCAAATACACTGCATACATGTATACACTGAAATCAAAGATATATTTTATTAAAATTTAACATCATAGTTGAACATTCAAAATGGGATTCAAGGGGTGTAAGGGAATCAAAGTCCGTTGAAGTGTGGATTTTTATTATCGAATTCTCGGGGCCCTTATGTATCATTCCCCAGAAAAAGGCCCTAGGTTGTGTCAAAGTGATAAGCATTGTACCTTGTTCATCATCATGACTATGGTGGATTATATCTACCTTGTCCTCATGGTATCGAACCCAGTTTTCAATGGCGTTGTTTATAACCCCTTAATGCCCTTCTCTGGTCCCCGTTATGTTCAAGTTTCATATATATCCTGGGGCAGTCTAACATCCTCCATTCTACGTCCTCATGAGTGTCAAGCAAGATCACATATTTCACATGTTGATTACAGAAATCTACTAGCTCGTAGGTGCTATATACCCCGCTAATTAATACCCTATCATAGCCCCTTTCACTCATATCGTATTGCATTAGATCAACCGTCTCATGTGACTGAGTCAGCTCAAGCGTGGTGGCCTTGGCTCCTGTAATCCTCTTTCTAGACCTTGAAACGATATTCACCCCATTATAGATTTGTGGGAGACCCGAATGTTATGGTCTGTGAGTGCAACTTATCAGAATTACCTCAAAATCGTTTATTTCTTTTACGAGGGTTGATGCATAAGAATGGAGACTCCACGGCTTCTTTTATAAAATTTGGGAAGCTGAAACCGTTGCCGGTTTCGCGCGGGTATAGTGATAGGATGGGGTGTGGTTCTTTGAGTCGGGAAGGATTGGGGAGAGACGGTGTAAAGTAAAACAGTGTAGGACGGTGAAGCGACATGCTTTTAGGCGGCATAGTTTTTTGAAATCGAGGTGTTTGCATTGTAGTAAGGGGTGATTTGGGTTTAGGCTAAGGCATATGGGGCAACTACGGTATGATAGAATTGCTGACAAGTGGAGATGGAAATCTTCATGACACGTACATTCCGTTAGTGAGTGTTGTTGACCCCAGGGGCACGTGTTACGTTCGTCCAATTTGTTTGTTCGTGCGAGCTGGAGTTTAGCGTCCCGTTGTTTTTGAGATTCCTCTACCGCTTGTTTCTAATTGAGACTATACTATTTGCAAAACGATAACTACCCGGAATACGCGTTGATCACTCAAGATCTCGTCGATGAGTTGTTTCGTTCGCTCTTCAGCCTCAGAGATGAGGGAGGGAGCTTGGCGTTTCGACATTAGCTGGAAAGACAGGGGTAATTATCTTGTAATATAGTTATGCAAGAAGTCGCGAAATTGAAATGGAATAAGGTGAAGATTGATTATTGTGTGGGAGATAGATTATGGATAAAGTGAGATGACAGAAATTTTTAAAGTCGTGAGGTAGTCGAATCCTGAGGGTCTGACTGTGACTCTCCCGGTAAGCGATTACTTGAGCTCGTTCTCGGTCGCCCATTTCGTAATGCAATATTTATTTTTTGGTTTTTTATATTTTATTCGTAATCACACACTAATAAAATGGACAAAATATTCTGTGATCCTCCTCTAGGATCGTCCTCACCTGCACTGGCAGGTTCGTTTTGCTGCTTTGGCAGCTTTTCTTCACTGTCTTTCGCACGTGCACTTTTTCCACAGTGGTGGATATCACTTCTTCACGATCGTACAAATCGTGCCCAATTTGTTGGGTCTTATGTTTGCGCCTGTTTTCAGGTCTTATCGATGGTGTATACCAGGCGACAAACTTACGGGATCCGGATATTGTTGATTGTAAAAAAAATAAACTAGAAATCGAAGATTCTGAGTTGACTCTGCGTTGGTCGACGCACCAGAATTTGTGGGAGACCCGAATGTTATGGCCCGTGAGTGCAACTTATCAGAATTACTTCAAAATCGTTTATTTCTTTTACGAGGGTTGTTGCATAAGAATGGAGACTCCACGGCTTGTTTTATAGAAAGGGGGGCGGGGGCGTGGCAACGCTCTCTCCGCCAATTGGTTGCATTTGGGTGTCCCAAAAGATTGACGAACCGGCAATTAATCTGACTGTTTCATCGCTAGAAATCAAATGGATACAGTAGCGGACAAAAGTATTGGGATTTTTTATTTTGACAAAAGCCGGAGTTTAGCTCGAGGCGGGCTCAAAGTGGGTCTGTAGAATTCGAGACGCTTTTTCATATGCAATTTGCTAAAACAGGCCACTCCATAGTACAAGAAAATTAAGTAAAAATTTCAGAAATCTCGACGACAAAAGTATTGGGATTTTCTTTCCGAAAGCCCAGAAAACGAGTTAGCAACCGCAGAGCGCTTTTATTGATGGAGGGGTCAAGAACAGCCGAAATTCTGCATTTCTCGTAGGCGATTCCATCCAAGCGTTGAGGAATTTTTAGAAATCTCGATTTTACTATGAAAAAATGCTTTGCCTCTAACTTGAATATACTTTTAATGCCAATTTGCTTTATCTAGTAGGATAGAGCAGCTAAAGACAATCATTTTGATATGCTATAGCCACCAGGAAACACGCTCCTCGCAGAGTTACATAGGGTCCAATTTTTCACTCGGCGGCGCTCATACTAAAGTGGGGCTCTTTCTCTATGAAAAGAACACCCAAACATCCGTGCACAGAATTGGACCATCTCTATCTGCTGGGGCATGGCGAAAAACTATGGACATGTCTATATATGAAAATGATCGCCTTGAGCTGATCTATCCGACTAGATAAAGCAAATTGGCATTAAAAGTATATTTAAAGAGTCAGAGGCAAAAAAAGCAATTTTTCATACTAAAACCGAGATTTCTAAAAAATTCCTCAACGCTTTGGGGATGGAATCGCCTACGAGAAATGCAAATTTCAACTGTGGGTGACCCCTCTGCATCAACAAAAGCGCTCTGCGAGGTTGCCAACTCGTTTTCTAGGCTTCGGAAAGAAAAATCCCAATACTTTTGTCGTCGAGATCTCTGAAATTTTTATTTAATTTTCTGGTACGATGGAGTGGCCGGTTTTAGCAAAATGCATATGAAAAAGCATCTCGAATTCTACTGGAGACACACTTTTGAGCCCACCTCGAACTAAAAATCACGAGGTTTTTGTCAAAAATAAAAAAATCCCAATACTTTTGTCCGCTACTGTACTACCCCCCCCCCTTAAACCTTGAACCCGCCTCACACCTTTGTGGATCTCGATATCGTATCCTTCGACGTAC